TTGCTAAACTCCTGGATACATTCAGTTTCATTTGCCACATTTAACAAAAATAACCACAAGTTGTTGGCCTTTTTTGAGACAGTGTATTTTAAAATGGGGTCAGAGTGTTTTGGTTACACAATAAATGCTCCGTGTTTGAATTTTGAGGTGAAATTGGGGTTGTAGGTTGATATGCCTTTGATGTCCCTGTGAGCTGGCAGCAGAGAGCTGAAAGGCTTTTTTTATGTAAGGGAGTTGTCACTCAGCAGATTTTTAGATGCCGGCCCACTGTGTGTTAGCCCATGCCAATGTGGCACTGAGCCGTTCATGTTAGGTCACTGTGATAAAGAGACACAGCTGGGACTTAACAAGGGCATCCTTTCTTCAGTTTTATAAGTCTACTGTTGTTTGATGAAAAAAAAACATGCACAACATTTGGGGTTTTAAAAATGACATGTTTCTTTATTAATAATATATTGGATTCCTTTAAAAAAAAGTATCTACTAAGATCTTTTAGTGTCATCTTCAATAACAGGATAATTATATGGAAAGATGCCTCACTGTCCAGGGCAACATGACATGGGGCGGTATCACGTGCTCGACATTATAAAGAGTTTGCTGACATCAGCATAGATCGGGTTTTCTATTTTTCCAGAGGAATGTGATGAACCTCTCCTGAAATTTGGTCTGGTGATACACAAAAAAAAAAACTAGTGACCAACACATTTAGCGGCCTAGACCAAGACAAGGCCCAGACCTTTAGAGGTTGAGACCAAGACTAAGACAAGGCCGAGACATTTAGAGGCCTAGACCAAGACAAGGCCAAGGCATTTAGAGGCCTAGACCAAGACAAGCCCCAGACCTTTGGAGGTCGAAACCAAGACATTTAGAGGCCTAGGCCTAGACAAGGTCCAGACCTTTAGAAGTCGAGACAAAGACAATGCCAAGACATTTAGAGGCCTAGACCAAGACAAGGCCAAGGCATTTAGAGGCCTAGACCAATTCAATTCAATTCAATTCAATTCAGTTTATTTATATAGCGCCAAATTCACAACACATGTCATCTCAAGGCACTTTACAGTTCAACCAGATCAAATTGATACAAAGTTTTCTATCTAAGGAAAACCAGTTGATTGCATTGACTCATTGACTCAAATACAATCCCCCAAACTAAGCATGCTTGTAGCGACAGTGGAGAGGAAAAACTCCCTTTTAACAGGAAGAAACCTCCAGCAGAACCAGGCTCAGTGTGAGCGGCCATCTGCCGAGGCCGACTGGGGTTCAAGGAGACAGAAGCAGAGATACAAAAAGCAGCTGTAAAAGGCGGCCCCGTCCAGGAAACACACAGCCAGGCAGACGAGCTCCGAGGCAGCTCCCATGCCAGACCAAGACAAGCACCAGACCTTTAGAGCTCGAAACCAAGACATTTTGAGGTCGAGACCAAGACAAGCCCCAGACCTTTAGAAGTCGAGACCAAGACAATGCCAAGATCTTTAGAAGTTGAGACCAAGACAAGGCCAAGAGCATATAAGATCTTGGTCAGTACAACACACAACATACTTTACCACAACAGCATTATTCCGTCCAGTTTTTCCAATGCACCAGCACCTCTGTCAGTAAAACAGCCCAATGGGATTATACAAGCAATACCAGTACTTGACAGCTGTTACAGTGCTTTTTTGTTTCATAGCCAAATATAGCATCTTCAAAATCATGCATTGAATTAATAACTAAAAAGTTAATCCTGTTTGTGAAGTAAGAATGTAAGTAAGGACGGACGGACAGACTTACAAATTCAATCTTTGTCAAAGTCTGCTTGTTTAAGTCATTAGGTGATATGAATAGCTGACTGATGTAGGTAGTATAAATGTATTGTTAGTCAAGCTAACAGAAACATACTTGTTTATACTAATTAGGAATATCATTTAAAAGTTTATTTATTTCAGTAACTAAGTTAACTAAATAAAGAACATTATACTAATTATTTATGCTTGTCTTCAAGAGCTGTGCTAATAAGGATTTTTCACTTACAATTACAGGTGCTGGTCATAAAATTAGAATATCATGAAAAAGTAGATTGATTTCAGTAATTCCATTTAAAAAGTGAAACTTGTATATTATATTCATACATTACATACAAACTCATATATTTCAGATGTTTATTTTGTTTAATTTTGATGATTACAAATGACAACAAATGAAAATCTCAAATTCATCATATCAGAAAATTAGAATATTGTGAAAAGGTTCAAAATTGATGGCCCCTGGTGCCACACTCTAATCAGCTAATTAACTCAAACCACCTGCAAAAGCCTTTAAATGGTCTTTCAGTCTAGTTCTATAGGCTACACAATCATGGGGAAGACTGCTGACTTGACAGTTGTCCAAAAGACGACCATCGACACCTTGCACAAGGAGGGCAAGACACAAAAGGTCATCGCTAAAGAGGCTGGCTGTTCACAGAGCTCAGTGTCCAAGCACATTAATAGAGAGGCGAAGGGAAGGAAAAGATGTGGTCGAAAAAAGTGTACAAGCAAGAGAGATAACCGCACCCTGGAGAGGATTGTGAAACAAAACCCATTCAAAAATGTAGGGGAGATTCACAAAGAGTGGACTGCAGCTGGAGTGAGTGCTTCAAGAACCACCACACACAGACGTATGAAAGACATGGGTTTCTGCTGTCGCATTCCTTGTGTCAAGCCACTCTTGAACCACAGACAGCGTCAGAAGCGTCTAAAGAGAAACAGGACTGGACTGCTGGTGAGTGGTCCAAAGTCATGTTCTCTGATGAAAGTAAATTTTGCATTTCCTTTGGAAATCAAGGTCCCAGAGTCTGGAGGAAAAGAAGAGAGGCACTTCATCCACGTTGCTTGAAGTCCAGTGTAAAGTTTCCACAGTCAGTGATGGTTTGGGGTGCCATGTCATCTGCTGGTGTTGGTCCATTGTGTTTTCTGAGGTCCAGGGTCAACGCAGCCACATACCAGGAAGTTTTAGAGCACTTCATGCTTCCTGCAGCTGACCAACTTTTTGGAGATGCAGATTTCATTTTCCAACAGGACTTGGCACCTGCACACAGTGCCAAAGCTACCAGTACCTGGTTGAAGGACCATGGTATCCCTGTTCTTAATTGGCCAGCAAACTCTCCTGACCTTAACCCCATAGAAAATCTATGGGGTATTGTGAAGAAGAAGATGCAATACACCAGACCCAACAATTCAGAAGAGCTAAAAGCCACTATTAGAGCAACCTGGGCTATCATAACACCTGAGCAGTGCCACAGACTGATCGACTCCATGCCACGCCGCATTGCTGCAGTAATACAGGCCAAAGGACGCCCAACTAAATACTGAGTGCTGTACATGCTCATACTTTTCATGTTCATACTTTTCAGTTGGCCAACATTTCTATAAATCCTTTGTTTTTATTGGTCTTCAGTAATATTCTAATTTTCTGATATGATGAATTTGAGATTTTCATTTGTTGTCATTTGTAATCATCAAAATTAAACAAAATAAACATCTGAAATATATGAGTTTGTATGTAGTGTATGAATATAATATACAAGTTTCACTTTTTAAATGGAATTACTGAAATCAATCTACTTTTTCATGATATTCTAATTTTATGACCAGCACCTGTAGAATTTCACCTCAAACCAATAAGAAATAGCATTTTTATTACAGCTGTATGTGCTTAATGAAGGGATTTTAAATGCCTCCTTAAGGGTTTTTATTATTCAAAAGAGACTTTTAACCTGACAAGCAGACCACATAGGAATCTATATTTTAATGTATGCATTATTACTGATTGTTCAAATAAGTGCGCAAGCAAGAACCCTTAAGTTTCACATCTAGTTTTAGACCCAGACTGTGCCTTTGGTTAAGCAACCTTACAAAACATTTAGAGATTAAGCAATTAGCAAGACTTATCATTCATAACAATGTAGAAAACAGTTATGTGGGAGGTTTAATGCAAAAGCCTTTTGTGTTTATGTCACGCTCCCTCAAAAGCCCTGAGAGTTTGTTTTTTGTGTGTGTGTGTGTGTTTCTTCTTGTTTATATCACCTATTTCAGACCGTTTAAGTTTATTTACTAAACTTCAGATGACCAACAGGCCTTATGGGGACCGAAGACTCGATCTGATGTGATTGAGTTTTAATATTAGAGACTCAGTTTAGGGGTACGTGTGAAATAACTTTAGTACTGATCCTAGTTAGGGTTAGGGTAAATGTCAGGGTGAAGCAGGAATATAATAACTAAAATGAATCTAAGTCCTGATAAGGATAGGCATACAAACTTGAGTGCGTGGATGTGGCCATGTTTTTGTTTGGTGTTTAGGATAAATGTAAGGGTTAGGTATAAATGCAGTAACTTAGGCTCTAAGTCAATGTAAAGTTTTGATAGGGATAGTAAGACAAACTTGTGTGTTTGGTTGGTGGTGTGGGCAGGGGTGGGGGTGCAGTAAAGTTGACAAATGACACTAGGTGGTAGCAGAGCTCCCCCGGGCAGGTGCACCAGAACTGTTGACCTGGGCAATATCCCTCTTTCACTTTTGATTTATAGCCTGCATGTGAAGGTAATGCAGATTTCACTATAGTTGCCTGGTGACTGTTTGGTTATCTGTGTGTGTATAAAAAGGCTTAATGTTTTAGTTAAGAAATGTTTCTGATTATTATACATGTTTGTTTTTTTAATCATTAGTCTGTACAACTGAAATCCATATGTCAATTAATCTGTGCTCAGCATTGTTTAGAATATCTCATATACCTCACTAATGGATCCATTAGGATGAGGAAAACCCCAGCACCTAAATTTCTTCTACTTATGGTTAATAATAGGAAGCAATTACCAGAATCATAGGCATTAAGCTATTTTCCCACGATGAAATGTTACAGCTAACTATGAGCTGCTGTTAGAGTTAGCAGAGAAAAAAGTAGAAAAAAAAGAGTAAAAAATAAAAATACAGTATTACCATTTTATTTCAGCCTCTGAATAGCCTATAACAAAAATTCAACAACAGCATTAAACATTTGCACATGTTTTATTATTCTACAGCTCCAGAGCGTAAGTCGCATAACACCTGACAGTGTGGATTGTTTACTCCCTCAGCAGTGGATAGTGTTGCCTCTGGTGTTGAGGCAGCTTTAGAAGTAGTTTGCCACCCTGCGAACAGACTGGATAGTGGGATTCTCTGCTTGCCACTCCTTGTGGCTGCATAAGCTTCCTCTCTCCACGATGTACATGCGTCCACGATAATTTGGCTCCTCATACAACACCCAGCTGTTGGGAGTTATAAGAAAAACAAATGCACACATTTAAATTCTGCAGTAAAAATAAGGATTATATTAATTTCATATTGCTACATATAAGTTCATATTTCTAGGTGTACAATTTAAGAGTTAATATTTTATGATGATGTTATTATTTTCTTGCAATGTCTTTGAAAATATTTAGAACTTATGATGGCAGAAGGGAAAAAAATCTTTATTTGAATTTAAGTATTTGTCAGCAATATTTACATTTGAACAAAAAGTGGAATATACATGACTCTCTACAGAGGGAAATAAATAGCTCTCTCACTCTCTTTTTTTCAGCATATTTGTCTAGAAAATATTTCTCAATTCGTCTTTTGGAGACTCCAAAGCACTGTACTATTCCAAATACTTCATGCTGTTGTAGGGCATTCTAATTGCCCTGATTCATTGATAACAGATGCTTCTGTCAACTCAGTCCTGGCTAGGATGAAAGAGCTGACTAAGGAGCTGCGGCTTCACATTCTCGCTGTTTAAATCAAGAAAGGGATATTAATGTAGAGCATTATTGTTTCTTTGAATTCCAGTAGGATACAGTGCAAAGCATTATAATAAAAAAATGAATAAAGAAATCTTAGAAGACGTGTTTGGTAGCCAAAAGTGTGTGCTGTGCTGGGCAGGATGATAATGACTGTGGTAAAAAGGGATTTAAGGAGGACCACCAAGGCCATCCTGGTGAATCTGGGTTTGTTTGTGACAATTTCTAAAACCGCAAGGCCCACACGTACTGCACACTACTGGATTTCATGTCACTGATGACTGGTCTGATTTCTCATTTCATTCACCTGCCTTGCTCTGCCCAGTTCTCATTATGGCTCAGCTGATCCACCTGCTTCGGCATCTGTTTAACCAGCCTTGAACCAGTCATTAGTGCCAGATTGTACGAGCTTTTGGTGAGAGTTCTCTAGGGTACCTGAGTGTCTCTGATTGCCTTATCCTGACCCATTCTGCTTCTGGACTTCTTACCCTGCCTGTTCCAGTTCTGATCTGTTTGACTGAACAGTCTTCGGACTGCTGCTATATTTTGCCTGTCTGTTAACCAAACCTGGAATTGTTCCCCGACTCCGTTATGGATTCCCCTTTGGCACCTCTTCGGACCTCTGATCTCCTGGTTCTGAATACTAATTATGTCTTCAACACCGGCTTTGGTACCACCCTCTGGATTATCCTGCCTTCCTTCATTTGCTCAGTTCTTATCTTCTGCCTGTCATCTGACCATCTGATCCACTTTTTCAGTTAAGGTACTGTCTAAATCATCTGGGAAGATGAAACAAAATATTATTCTTTAGGCAAAATGACATGTCCTTTATTTGGTCTAAAAGATGAGAAGCCTTCAACTCTGAGAACTGCACCCCCATTATCACACATGAGGCTAAACATGGAGGTGGAAACGTGATGTTGTTTTTCTATACAATGAGCAGGGGAACCTAACCGAAGTAAATGGCATAATTTTAAAGGAGGAAAATATAATTGTTCTCAAAGAGAAAACAAAAACTCATGCAGTCTGCAGAGAAACTTAGTCTTGGACACCAGTGGACATATACAGCGACCCAAAACACACAGCAAATGTTGTAAAGCACAGGCGTAACTTTCTGAAGGACTGGTGGGGACATGTCTCCACCAACTTTGGCCTAGTGAGGACAGTCCCCACCGATAATCTCCCCTTATCCCCCTTTCCGCTCATTTTCATTTAGCCAAAGGTAACAGAGGTTGGGTGCAGCCAACTGTATTCAGAGCGTTTTGAGTCAGTGTTTTTTCCTCTTTTGCGCTGCTCTCGTGTCCTGCCTCTCCGTGTAATATTATCGGATCTGTCGCTTTGAGACATCTTTGCGGTTGCATTTTACTGCGTACAGAGTCGCTACATTGTTGAAGGAGAGACCCACAGCAGCACTCAGTGAATATTAACCAGCAGCTACCTCGATGTTTAAGTAAAAGTTAGGAGACGGGTTAGTTCAAATAGTTAAAAATTCCACCGAAAAATCTGTTCGTTAGACTTATGCAGCTTTTTTGGCTAAAAATGGCAATGGATTGTAAGTTTTAAAAAGTTGGTCTTATAACGCAGAAGCTTGAGAAAACATAGTTTGTTCTTCTTTACTAGTTAAAAAAATCTTTTTTTCTTAAAGGACCATGACTCCCAGTTACAGGCTGAAATTAATTAATCAGACTGCAGAGCTTCTACATATCTTAAAATTTTGTTTCTGGCATGATCATATTATTAAATAGGTTCATAAACCTTTTTAAACAGAGCACAGAGAGAAGTAGGGAGAGCTGCAGATTTAAAGGTGAAACAGATTTACTGGGACATGAAACATGCATTAAAATATATCTCCAAGTTTAACACAAAGTTTACAAGAAAAAAATATGCTATGCTATGTTTAAAATGCAGCATATCCCATTTTTTTCTGGATGGAATTGAAATTGTACTTCTAGAAATGCATGATATATCAATGTTTTTGGGCCCTATATTCATAATGCACTAAAAGGCATCTCTCTAACATATATAAATATAAATATCAGTGTATTGTGGTCTTGTGTTCTCAAAAATAGGAAAGCATTCAATTAAGCTCATTTTTGGAAAATTAATCCAATGAAAGTGTAACTGTAGGTCCATGAGCCACCACCCGAGTGTTCCACACCAACTTTCATCGCAAAGTTACACCCTTGCTGTATAGAAATGGTAAACAGACAAAAACACTAACACCTTGCAGTGGCTCAGCCAAAGTCCTGTCTTGAATAATTGAGAATCTGTAAAGGTAACTAAAAATCAGGGTGAGGGCAAGGAGACCCTCCAATCTGAAAGAGTTGGAATTTATTGCTAAAGATGAATGGGCAGAAATACTAGTGGAATCATGCATACAGCTGGTTAGCAATAACAGGAAGCTATTACTGTAATAACACAAAGAAGGTTTTTATGAGAATTTGGGCAAAGTTATTCATTTTGACAATCCAAGTTTTGTTTACAAGTACAGTAGGAGAGGGTTTTTTGTCCCATAGTAATGCCTCCTGCGCATGGTCTTATCTACCGGTAATAAGTGATACCTGCCTCATGTCCAATCAAGAGAACACTTGCTTATTGAATTGGAGGAACTTCAATCCCAAATTTGAAAGTGATATAAAGATCTTGTGGCCTTTAGTAGTACTGAGAGACTGTTGACATTTGGTTTATGCATTCTGCAATTGACTCTTATTTAATATCAATGCCAAAAGCAGGATTTAGATTGTTTTTGTGTAGTTATCTTTGTAAATATAAGGACAAAGGATTGAAATAATTTAAAGTAAAGAACCGAAGGATCCAAAGTATTTGGAGTGTCATGATATTGCACAATATTGGAAAGTGTTGAAATACTTGATTATGTTATAGTTTAATTATTTTTTTGTTAATAATTTTGAAAATAAATTTGAAAATTTGCCTTAAGAGGAGTGTAAACATATAAACATATAAGAACAAAAATCAATACACAGATTGTTGAAGTAAAAGGTTAAAAATACATACGCCCCGTCGCCATAAACTTTAATGGAGTTGACACAGTTCTTGGTCAGACCTTGTGCTTGTAGAAACGGACAGTCATCACACAATTCCACACACTGACCAGCAAAGTCGTCTCCCTCGAACAGTTCCAATCTGTAGTGTTCTCCGTGCTGGGGAGGTAAATGGCAGAAGTGATATCGCATAGTCATATAGCAGCAAGGCTAGTCTTTATCTTTCACAAATGTCAGAGCCTATTTCATGACAGAAGCTGTATTCTATGTGCACCTATATGATGTTGAGGATGGTATGAAAAAGTCAGTTTCTGGAGAGCTCTTGATTTCCTTTCATTAATTATGTCTTCAGCAAACTTTAAAGTGTAAAGGACAGTAAAGTGTAAAGCTCTGTTATTTTAATTATCAGTCTTTGATTTCTCTGTCAAACAACTGTTTGTTTGCTGTACTTATTCCAGTCTGACTAACCAACCTAAAATATCTCTGCCCCTAGGGTCTCTTAGAAAAAAACACATAGACCTAGAGTACTTAAACTCACCATTCTAATTGGTCGGCAGGAGCCCATGTGATCATTATGAGCATTCCAGCGCTGGAATTCAGGGTACTCTCCATGCTCCAGAATGTACTGCTGGCCCTTGAAGTCAGGATGGTCAAAGCAGACAAAGGCGCCGCTCTCCACCCTGGCAGAGTTGACTCTGTTCATGAAGCCATGGTCCTGAAAGTTGTCACATTCGCTGCATAGCTCCAGCTTCCTGCCCGTGAAGCATTTGCCCTCGTAGAGCACAATCTATATTTTCACGACATTGAATAAGGAAAGTAAAAGGCATCCAAAAAATTATCAAATATTTCCGAATCACAAGCATTTGGAATGCCTTAAAATACATCTTTGTGTAAATCAACAAGGTTCATTGGAATTGCTTGGGGAAGATCTGCTTCAGTTGCATTAGGGTTGTGATACTCACCTTTCCTGAGTACTGAGACATTTTCCACTGTCAAAGTCCTTCAAAGTATTCACACAATTCAAGAGAAAAATTTGGACTCTCAGATATATATGCCTGACAGAAAGAGTGCCACTATCACGAGGCAGATGCCACAAAAGCACTACAATGGAGGGGTTTAGATGTTTTGCCAAATAGACAGTTTCCCTTACACGTGTCAATGCTGATATTGTAGTTTGCCCCCAGAGGAGAGCAAAACAATAGACTGGTTGAGATTCTGCTTTGATTGGGCTTTGGGAGAGATGTTCAACTTTGCCAGGGGTTGCAGCGTAATATTTGGGACAATTCCAAATGGGGGGCATGAAAGGAAAAACAACCATAGGAAACAGACGTGAGAGGGCAGGGATAAATCCACCAATATACTCTCCTCTGACAAACAACAGCTGTGATGCTCCAAAGGCAGTCTCGAACTAATTATTTGGCAGTCCAAATGTCTCTCTTCAAACCAGATAGCCCACCTGTTGATTCTCAGGATCCCTCTGTGTTGATGTTTCACTTGTATTCTCTCGTTTCAGGGGGGCTGGTGTGGTTTGTGAGTCATAGTGTTAGTGGCTTGTTTGGGGCCTTCTGTCTGAGTTGCTTCTGAGGGTGCTCCGCCTATAGGCTTCTGATCTGGACTGGTAGGAAAACTAATCTCATGGTTCCACTGTGTCCTAGAGACTACTGGTGGGGGAAACTGTCCAGAGGGGATGTCGGGAAAACAGTTGTTCAGATGTTTGGTGGGATTGTTTTATGGCTATTTGGGATCTCTAGGTGAATGGTAAGTTGGCTTTTATGGTGGGGCCCTTTGTTTGGGTGTCGCTGATAGAATAGGGCTGGGCATTGTGTTCTTGGTAGATTGCTTGCTGGGGCTTAGTCACTTATCCACATTGTGTCCTCTGCTGTCATTTGTGGTTTGGGGCCTGTTGTAAAGCTCTCTAACACTATATAGCTATACATTTTTAGTCCAGACAGCTTCTGCTGCTCACGTCTACAGTAACATCAATTTACCATTTAGGGCCTGATCCTTAGCAGGCTTGCTCACATTACGAGTGGAAAAATTTTTGTACATCAAGAGTGGAACTGCAAAGAAGGCATAATTTGTGTCTGCCATTCAACAGATACCATGTGCAAACCTTTTTTGCAAGTTTGCCTCTATTGATATGCAGATCATATTCTAATGACCAAACAATGCAAATTCATGCAAATGTAAATATTTACCAGGTGATTTTTTCCCCCCCAAAAAAATCTGCAACCAGAGGATGTTTTTTAGCACTTATGTAAGTGAGGTACAAACTGACATGCACCTACAAAAAGAGGCATTGATACAATGCCAGATGATGCAGAGAGATGCTGCGCACTTGTAAATATATTTGGATTGTAATAAATTACCATTAACATTAACAGAGTAATATTAACTAATAAAAAATGGAGGCTGTTACAAATTAATCCGCCAGGGCAGCAGACAATCTTTATAAAATTAAACCAAGCACTGCTGTCTTGCAGCAAGAAGGTCTTGGGTTACATTCACGGCCTGGGGTCTTTCTGCATGGAGTTTGCATGTTCTCCCTGGGCATTTAAAGGTTTTCTCTGGGTACTCCGGCTTCCTCCCACAGACAGAAAACATGACTGTTAGGTTAATTGGCTTCTCTAAATTTTCCTTAGGTGTGAGTGTGTGTGAATGGTTGTTTGTCCTGTTTGTCTCTGTGTTGCCCTGGAATGGACTGGAGACCTTTCCAGGGTGTACCCCGTCTCTCACACGTAGACAGCTGGAGATAGACACCAGCACCCTTTGCTACCCCAGCAGGGATACAGCGTGATGGAAAATGGTTGGATGCTGCAAATTAGTAAATGGTTAAATTAGTAAATTAGTAATATTTTAATAAGGATATCTTGACCATTGCGCCAAATTATGGATTTCATACCATTTCTTCTCCTCTTCAAGCATGTGGTGACAGTGGACATGAAACTTCGCAACCTCGCTTGGGATAAGCGTGACGGAAAATGGATGGATATAAAGATATATATCAAAAAAGTGGGTGCATCATCTACTCATCACAACAGGATTCTTTTCCCCTCCCTCAAGGTAGATAAAACATAACCATTGTTACCTTCCCAGCTCTATGGCTCCTCTCCGTGGTTTGGAACCGCTGGTTAATAAAGCTAAGACCCGTCCGAACTTAGCTTGGCTAGTTGCGGCTGGTTACTAGCCGTCCGGGTTTATTGCACACAACAGTACTTTATGGCTGTGGAACCGAACTTATTCTCACCAACGGCTCTACTTCTAACTGCTGCAAGCAGGATTATTCCACACACACACACAGAAAAAAAACATACTGCTACGTGCTGGCTACGTCACCCGCTCCCCCCCCGAGGCCACCTCCTTAAAGGGGAATGCTCAGGCCGGTAACACCATGCAAAAAGCATGATTTAGTTTTTTTTTTAAATTAGTGTGTCATTTCAAGCAGCTAGTGGGAGTATAATATAGCGCGCACACAAAAGAAAGCGTTAATTACTTTGCCAATATGTGACCAGTGAATTAATTACTATGCCAATATGTGACCAGTGAATTTCTCCGCTATGAGATCAATAAAGCTAATCTAATCTAATCTAATGCAAAAAAGATCAATTTCCATATCTTAATATTCGTGCAGCAATCTTTGTAGATCACCCGCAACACGCTCACTGGCATCTTGTGACTTAATTATTGTTTTAGTCCTCAATGCATTATGAAGCAGATGCTATTGCCATAAAACAGGACAGATAGACCCAGTATTCAGAGGTGAGACAGTCAGTAGGAAAGTTCAAAAGGTTTATTAAACAAAAACAGACAGAACAGAAGTGCACTGTTGTGGAACTGCGACCGCAGCGACTGCAGGTCTGGGTCGCCACCCATCAATGATTCTGTAGAATCATTGATGGGAGAGAAACACAGGTAAGTGACCACGATCATCTGAACAGAAGATTATAATTAAAGTGAGTCACTTACCTGGTTTAACAGTACAGTCCTCTCAGGAACGGACAGATCCGTGTTCCAGGAATCCATGAGAGCACAAAGGCAGGTTCAGAGTCCCCTGTGTCGAGCATCCAGCTCAGACAGAAACGCACCTTAAAGGACAGGATCAAGGTCCTCTGCGTCGAGCATCCAGCTCTGACAGAGACGCACCATGAAGGACAGGTTCAGAGTCCCGTGCTTCGAGCATTCAACTCAGACATAAACGCACAGAAAGGCAGAATCCAGCAGGAGTCCAACTGAGGTTTGGGTGGGAAGATCAGGCAGGGACAGACAGGGCCAGTGGGTGAGAGGGAACAGAATCAGGAAAACAAAATCACTAGGGAAACACTGGAACGCTCTCACCAACTGGTTAGGGAAAATAACTCGCCTGAGGACACTGGCTTGAGAATAAACTCTTCACAGGAACAGGTACAAGAACCTTGGAACTAAATAAAATAAACAAAACCGACTGACCGGAGAGACAGAAATCAAACAGGGAACAAACAGAAGTCAAACAATGATCTAGACAGGATAGATGGGCTATAAGGGAAACCGGCAGGTGGATGAGATCAGAGATGATGATGAACTGGGCAGAACTTGGCAGATGAGTGACATAAACAATTAAGGCCAGCTAACAGAGCAGATCATGACAGCTATAGTGTCTGTGCATTGGTACACTAAAATATTTGACAGTATTTATTCCAGCACACTTAACAACCTCAGCTGGGATAATGCTTTACAGAAAATGGGTAGATGAATGACAGTATTTGTGACTTACAGATGTCAAAATAGTAAACTCTCCTCCATATGCCAAAGGTTTCGTTATGTCCCCTGATCACTGGATTCCCATGGTGACATTGTCTCTGATGAAGACTAGATACTTTTTAAAATCTTCTTTGTGACACCTTAAGTGGAAATCTTCACTAAGCTGCAACTGTTAGAATAGTGAGAAAAAAATAAACAGGAAAAATACACACACACAGCTGGATGGCATCTTAATGTCACTTGATGTTTATGATTTATACATCAAAGATAGTTGATATACTTTACACCTAGAATGTTTTAGCAGTATTAAATCATCTGTCTTTTTGCATAAAATCAATTTCACAATTTTTAATGATCTGATAATCCAAGAGAGGACACTTCAGTTTGGACAAAAGAACACAAATCATACTCATACTAGAGTACAGAGAGCACAAATCTGACTTCATTTCCTGAAAAATAGTAGAAATAGATACCAAGGTTACCACAAACAGATCTAACAATCGGACAAAGAAAGGACATCTGCTAAATCTTAATGACTACCTGATAACCTGTCCAACACCCCCACTTTAGGAGAGTCAGGAGTAACAGAACCAATAGCAGAGTATTGGCGTAAATGGCCCAGGGTTCCAGAAAATTACATAATTTACATATTTATCACACTTTGTGTAAAGTACAGTATGCACATTTAAAAAGTATACAAGTATTTCTGCTGTGATGCCGACAATCAATACTTTCTCTATATAGCTATATTTATATCTATATATGTATCTATATATCTATCTACAACGTATAATTAATTCTATCTATCTATCTATCTAATGTATAATTATATGCATAATTAATATTATCCATCTGGATTTACATTTCATTATTTTTAGAGTGTGCTCCATTATTCAGTTTATTCATTTATTCAAACAGCAGCAACAGAAAAAAAGAAGTTTTAGTTTAGCAGGTGCAACGAAAAATTGCATTAAGTATAGCTGAAGCTGCAATAATGTTATAATGACACTATAGAAAAATGAGAAACATTAGAAGCAGCTGAGAAAGTGACTTGTTACCCCAATAGAAGAAAGCAATGTTCTGTGGATTAATTAATTGTGGTCATTAGAAATGCATGCAACTAAATGACACCATAGTCAGGCGAAATTCAGGTCTACTTAAAACTATCTCATCTATTGAACTTCTACTTCATGCAGAGCCCAATGTACTCCCACTTTTAAACCTTGATTTTTATCTTGCACAACTCTGGCACAGATATTTGTTTTGAAGGTAAAGGTCATCCAGCCTTACTGTCTGCAATAATGCAAAGCAAAGGCAAAGTGCTTTTGACTTACTTAGCTTAATAAAAAGGTTTTTGAGTCTGATAGGAACGCATACGTTATTATCTCTAACAACCTCATATTGAAATAGAAGTTGTCTAGTCTTCTATAATGCATATGGAAAAACCCAGTCTGACTAAGGACCTAAGCACACAAACGTAACAGAGATATTGTACTTAATGGGGCGTTACCATGACAGAAGAGAGTACGGAGAAGTATAAAAAGAGGAAAGGTCACTGAATGCACCTCAGTCGTTGACAGAAACCGTGGCAGACAAACCTGTAAGGTATGTAGATGCATTTGGTAAATTTAGGCAATATTAATCTGCTTTTTGAAAACTGACTTAGAAACCAATTTCAAATTCTGATTATTTGAAATTTGTTAAACAAAAATCAACCGGGAAAACAGCTTGGGAAAGTATTTTTCAAATGAATTCTTTTTTTTTTTTACATTTCATTTTTTGCATTCTTGGAACATTTATTTATCTTTTGTTTTGTTTGTCTGGAACAGACTGCTGTCCTGAAAAAAGAAACAATGAAGTTGTTGGTTCTGACTTTAACCCTCGCCCTGCTGTTTACAGCTGGTGAGTTTGTCACTCATTCTCTACTTGACAAACACAACCTCTGCTCCTCTGAAGCAGGAAAATCCATCGGCAAAAAATCCCAACTGTAGCATACATTGCCTGGCAAAAGGATTTACAGTCCTTGAACTTTGATGCATTATTCATGTTTTTCATATATTTAAACTATAAGTTAATGATCAACAAAGAATAATGAGGGTTTGTTAGCTAGAAGGAAAAAATATACAAGCTTTTACAAAAAAAAATATATATATATATATATATATATTCCTCCAACTTTATTTTCATACCCCTAAACAAACACCATACCCATATATCTTCTATAAATAAAAGTCTACATACATTTTTCTGTCATTTTTCTTCTCTGGGCAAGAAGATTTAGAGGGATGTTAGAAGACATTAGTGAGCAAAAAGCATCATGGAGACCAGGTAGTTACGGATACAGTTGTTAAGAGGCTTTAAACAGTGATAGATTATAAAACAATAAATATCCCTGCCTTTGAAAAATAAAATTATTATATCACACTGTTCAATCCACAATGTGAAAATGGAAGATTATGGCAAAATGGTAAACCTACCAATCATGGTTGACAACCTTAATGATAATCTATTGAAATTTAGTTTTAATTAGAGAGGAAGCCAGAAGACCTAAAGTAAGTCTGGAGGTGTTCACCTTGTCAGGTGAGGTGAAGCTGTTTGCAGAACAGCAACTTGGTTGTCCTATTAGTAAATCAGGACATCCCCATTGTCACACATTGTGGTGAAAGTATTATAGTGCAGATGCTTTTCTTCAGCTCTAACAGAACTGTTCATGAGAGAACGAATGGAGAAAAATAGAAGACAAAACCAGAAAATAGAGAAATAAAACTTTTAAAGGCTGTTGCAAAAGAACTGAAACTAGGGTAGAGGTGAAATGGTTTAAGTAAATAAATGCGTTAGTCCAAAGTTAAGACCACAATCTGATTCAGAATCTGAGGCAAAACACAAACTTACCTGAATATTGCTATTTACAGATGCATATATCCAAACTGACAAAGCATACAATATTTTACAAAGAATGGGTAACAGTGTTCTCTTGTAGATTTGAAGGAATGGCAGAGAATGTTAGATTTTTTTATTTCAGAATCAGAATTACGGTACTTTATTTATCCCTTGCTGGAAGGAGGGTAAGAAAGTTTAGCCGGAGTTAGTTACCTCTATATTGCTGGTATAAAGTTTTTTTCTTGAGTGCTTTTTAACATAAAACATCAGTGTATAAATGGACACTTAAAAAAATGCATGAAGTCTTAAGTATTTGCTTTGTTTACAGGTTGGGCTCTGCGCTGTCATCGCTGTGTCCCAAAACAGGCTGGAGGTTCCTGCCAGCGCACAGAAGAGACCTGTAGACCAGATAAGGATGCCTGTGTTGCGGCCAAGTTCCTACGACAACCATGTGAGTTTCTTAAAAAGCATATTTTTTAAGAACTCCAAAACTCTTATAACTATGAATTAATCCACCTGAATTACAGCACCAGATAAGTTATAGAAAGAAGATGTTTTAAACTATATAAATTTTCTACATGTCTCTAAAAGGACAAAGAAGTAGGGGTGTTAAATCTGAAAAAAAAAGTTTTTCATTCATTGTTAAATATCTGAAACTGTCACATGTAACCTTTTGACTGCACAACGTTCTCTTTGCACACTAAAAATCAATATTTCTTTTCTTTCTATAGTTGGCCGATTTCAGAGGTGCATCGCCCTCAGAGACTGCAAAATGCTTCAGATGAATGCCTACATAGATATAAATTGCTGCACCGAAGACATGTGCAACACCTTTCAAAACGTAAAATAAAGAAAGCTGGTCATCTAAACATTGTGAAAAAAACATACACTGTGACTGATAATTAAAAAATAGAGAGAGAAATATTTGCCTTTATGTAATCTTTCATTCCTATGTGACAAAGCCTTATGGAGCTTCTGTTTTGTTTGTTTGTTTGTTTTTTTCATTTTCATACATGCTTTCTACTCTTCTGGTCAAAAAACTACACATACATCCATTACATAATTACATTTTATAACAATTTTGAGCTTTTAATGGTTTAAACCAATTTCTTGTTTTTCACCAGATTTACTGCATATATCAAAAAACTTCATTTTCAACACAACAAGCCTGCAGAAGACTGGATTTATCTTAGATTTTCTCTATTGTGCACATAATGAAGATTTAGGCTTTAATTATTTACCCACTGCCACATAACATTTGTATTAATAATTAAACTTAGACATATCAATCCTAAGAAACCTGGCATCAACTAGGTAACTGAATAAAGAGTAAATGATTCTTATTTCAACTGTTGTGTAATTGACAGATGACCATCGATATATAATTGGCCGAATTTAGGTGTACAAGCTGATGTATAACTAACCGGCCTGCATAAAATAACAGAAAAAACCTACAGATCTTAAGACAGGATTTTTTTTAAATAGAAATTTTCAAAATTTTGGGACAATATTGTCTGATAAAGAGTTCATTTATATACATGTTTAAGCCATGATTTGACATTTAAATATGACTTCCCTACGGCTTCAACCTCTCAAAATCCACCCGTTGACCGTAATAACTTAGAATGCATGAAAATTACAACGGTACAGTTTTTTACCAATATAGACATGTTAGACATCGTTGGAAAGCTTAGATTTTCCACAATTCAACCACCAGGTTCATTTTATGGACATAGAGAGCACCAAAGCACAATTAACACAGATATAACAGCATGTCAAAATGTAAACTTTACTAGGCATCCACAACAACATACATTTGAAGGCATCCAGAAACTTATTTATAAATCCAATCTTCAGTTGTTTATATTCCATTCTTCCATAAGGGTCCACAGATTAAAAGTAATCAAATAATCCATATTCATAATAAAAATATTCCATGATGAGAAAATCGCCACATAACCTACCTTTTTTTATCAGAAAAGTTAGCTTTTCATATTTAATGCTTAGCATGTTGCTAATAAGATTTACTTCCTCAAACTTTTTTCTGTGATGTTTGGTATGTTTCTTTACATTGTCTTCTTACCTACAAGAAAAAAGTGATTGCATCTTTGTATCACTCAATTTGAGTCAGGGATAGCCAATGAAGTCTCACAAGCGCTCCTTGCCTGTCAGCCAATGACACACCGAGTAGAGCCATATTACACCTCATAAAGTCCTGCTGTTATTGGTTAAAGGAATAGTACACCCAAAACATGATTAGCCTTCATTTTCTACTCACCCCCATGCTGAACAACACTCTGGAGTACTTTTTTGATATCTCAAATGCATCTGGAGATCTGGGAGGCTTCTTGCTGTCTGCTGACATTCAAATAATGGAGGTCTATGGTGACCGAGGCAGAAAGGTCCATAAAAGTCCACAAAAAACGTGTCAATATTCCTCCATACTGCTTGTCCAATGTATTCCAAGTGTCCTGAGTGGGTAGCATCAAGAATTTACTCGAAACGAAGTCATTTAGAATGTTTTTAGAGCATAAAGAGTAGTGTATAGGATTTCCTGAAAGCGCAAGCCAGCGCGTTCAGGACGCTACGGAAGCCGGCAGACCAAACCAGATGAAAGTGCGCATTCAGCGTCTGCTCTGCCGATAATGCAAGCGTAGAAGAAGAAATGTGCTGTTTACCTGTGCAAAGAAAGAAACAACGAAAGAAAAATGTCTGAGGACTTCAGTGTTGAGGAAGAGCATGAGTTCTTTGCCGAGCTGAATGCGCACTTTCATCTGGTTTGGTCTGCCGCGGTTTCCGTAGACTCGTGAACGCGCTTTTAGGAAATACTATACACTACTGTTTATGCTCTAAAAACATTCTAAATGACTTCGTTTCGAGTAAATTCTGGATGCTACCCACTCAGGACACTTGGAATACATTGAACGAGCAGTATGGAGGAATATTGACACGTTTTTGTGGACTTTTATGGACCTTTCTGTCTCGGGCACAATAGACCTCCATTATTTGAATGTCAGCAGACAGCAAGAAGCCTCCCAGATCTCCAGATGCATTTGAGATATCAAAAAAGTACTCCAGAGTGTTGTTCAGCATGGGGGTGAGTAGAAAATGAAGGCTAATCATGTTTTGGGTGTACTATTCCTTTAAGACCATGTGGGCTGTTTGGCTTTGTAGCCAATGAAATAAGATTTCAAACAAGGGTAGACATGGCTGGGTTGCATAAAGCAGAGCCGTCTTACTGGCTTGCGTAAAGTGAAATTCACTGCTGAGACCGGATCAGTGTGCACAGTTGGAAGTCAATTACTAACAATGCTTCAATATGTTTTGGACGCTGAAAAAAAATAAAAATAAATACAGCTCAGAAAAGGCACTGGGACTTATTTTAGCTTAAAAAGCAGCAGTTTCACTCTTTCTTATAGAGTTTTATGTTATGTTAGGTTTATAAACGTTACATTTTGTTATATATTCTGAAAAAAGGTAAAGAAAATACTTGCTTTATAAATGTTTTGTGAGCATCAAAGCATCAAACTGCTTAAGTGCTATTCTATGGGTCAGATGGTAGAGTAAAACCATTTGACACACTGTGGCACATTAGGAGAGGTTTGGAGACGCTGGTGACACAAAAAGTTCAAAGCCCCACAGCTCTGGAACTGCTGTAGCTAGAGGTCTGAAATTTTTTGCATTTGTGGTTGACATGATGTAGAACAAATGTAATACAATGAAACTTGCCTTGTCTTTATTACTGCTGTTCAAAAAAGGCTAATTATTTTTGAGAATACAGAAAACAACTCACACTATTTTCATTTATATTTTCAATAACTAGAAGGTGTTAGCTTTCAAATGATGTGTCACACATGTAATTTGGGCTTACACTTCCTCGGTTATTTGGTTTTTCATTTGGGTATGCAAAATAGGCGAGGATTACTTCAAATTAGGTGGGTGTTATTAAGATGGAACACAATTTAATAAGCAGTTATTTAACCTTTTATTTTATTAGTCAATTGTTTTATAGAATCCCACCTACTAACGGCTCCGCTTAACCATTATAAGATAAGCTGGTGAAGATTCTCAGTCATTCAGGTCATAGTCCTTCCAAAAAAGTTAAGAAACAATCCACAATCAGAATTAGAGTTGAGATGAACCCCTAACCCCATTTAGGGGACAAAACCATCCCACTAGGTCAACCAGACCAACAATTACCCCTAACAAACCCCTTTCAGAGGCATATACCAGTATTGGATATTGCAGACTAACAAATAACCCAAATGACTCCCCATTCCTAAAGGGCAGATCCTTTTTTCTGGTTCAATTTGCATGTTTTCTAAGCCAAAACAAGTTTGTTGTGCTACTCTATAAAGCTTTGAACTCAACAGCAATTCTGACATTTTGAATTGTAAAAGCTTCCTGGATGGGAAGCGAAATGTCTTCAACTTGGAAACAAAGTTCAGTGGATTGTTTTTTAACTTTTAAGCATTATAAGATAAGTTTAAGTGAATCTAGCGTTAATGACGCATGCTCAAGATAATGTTTATGACACACAAAAGCAAGTAGTTAGTTATGTCAGGAAGAGAGGTCAAACATTTAGACAGACTTATGCCAGAAGCATGTTGATGGAGGATTTAATAAAGCTGTATGTACATAATTGAGCATATATATTTATACAATTTAGACTGTGTAGTCTAGAGGGACTTCATATTTATGTGGTCTAGAACTTTTTACATCCCCTTCCAGAATGCGAAGTGCAAATAATCATTGATGATTTATGCTCACTTCTGACAGGAATTTTGAATTCATATGATCAACAAACCGAACCAAGTACATATAGGTACTTAAAGACACTTAACTAAAAATAGGACAATGCAGGACTTAGACCTGAAAGAAACTTTACTGATTTATACTAAAATATTTTTTTTCTGTGGCATCTTTTATATCTGGCTTACTTCCAGTATTGTTCACCATTTTGACCAGCAAAGCATAAATTGAACAGATTTTGATGCTGCAAAAAAAATAACATTGAAAGATTCCAACAAATCAAAATTCATAAGATCCTTAAGAAAAATCCACAGACCATCCTACTTACATAATCACTTTTTCCTTTAATGGTTACAATCAAAAACATTTGTACAACATTTTCAACATTAGAAAATGAATGCAGATTTTTCTTATTTTCTTTTGGCAGACAGTAATTTAAGGGAAACTAACCAAGGGAGAGAGACATGAGTACTGCGACTGATGCAGTAGAAAACAGGTGTATATTGGAAAGCCCACACAGCTGGTAGTATATCAGAATAAAGATTTGTTCATCTATTTTCATATGCATGGCAGACATGGGAAATCTTTTATCTCGGGTCATTTAAACAGGGCTATAGCCTTATATGGAAGCTTCAAAGGGAAAAGCTAGGATGCATCAAGCCTACTAATTCTGTTCCTAACTACAAATATTTGTTCTGATACATCCATACCAGCCGTTTCAGGTTTTGCATCAGTGCTGAGCACAAAGATGAAAAAGTGGGCAGAGCATTATTTAAGACCAGAAAATAACCCATTCATCTTTTTTCATTACACACACAAAGGAAAAGAAGGATGATGGGTCGAACTGGGAATACTAATGATGATGGTGGAGTCAGAGCCATAAATAGACACTTTTAGGTATTTAGGACCCTGGTTGAGGAAGGGGCGTGGACTCAGCTGAGGTGGAGGGGAACTGGCAGCTAGCCTTCAAGTAACGGGATTTCCCAGTGCAGTGTCCTGTGTGTTGATTGGGCGGCTCTACATCATGGAGCAGGGGTTCTTTACAGGCTGCACTCCATCCATCTTCTCCGCCTCCAAGATCATCCTCCGGAAAACCTCCACTGCTGTCTGAGGGAGCGAATGAGACCAAGCATATACACAAAACAATTTCAAATGCTGAATGTATCACGCTTTAAAACTTTAGCAAAGCCTATAGCAGTAAGTAGAGGAAGCTTGACTCTGTTTACCTTTCTTCTTTGTGGTTCATTATAAACTGCAAATTATCAACACCCCATTGTGATTCGTATAATCACTAGTTGGATGGTCTGGTTTGGCTGCTGAATGAATTCCCATTGGTTAACTGATGGTTCTGTCTGCCTATATCTGCACTACAATTGCACTGACAAATATCAACTCATTCTTTTCACTCTCATAATTCACTCCTTCTGTGTGTCCCTTTCTCACAATGCATTGGGAAAGGTGTTTGTTCATTCTGCTCCTCCCTCCTGGAATTTCTACATAAAGTTTGAAACTACCGAAGTTCATCTCAGTGTTTGTCCTTCCATGCTAAAAGCTCTAGCGAAAATAAGAAAATAAATCTGAAATTATCAATCAGTTATTGCTGTGATAATTGAGTCAAAGTTCTGTTGATAATGTTGCATTAGAGCAAGATATGCAATGATCAAATTCTTGGATCGGATATTGTTCCACTGCTGAAAAATTAGCTGTATTTGATATTGGAGATACGATCCAGTTCACTTTTATGGAAGCTTAATTTCTTTCTTTTTGGTGCTTTTTTGTTAATAAATAATATAAAATTTATTTATTACAGTGTTAACTTATTACCTGTTTTTGAAAATGTTTATGTCAAGGCTAAAGCCCTCACTCACATGGGAAAATATGGCTGTGTCTGAACGTCCGCCCTAAACCATAAATCCCTCAATCACTACATTGAGCTTTGACTATATAGTGGACTTTATAGTGAACTGAGTTAACTGACCGTTCAGGCAGACAACCACAACTTTTTGCAGTGTTCGAATGGATGATCACTACCTTTCGCTACACGTTGGTTAAGTAACTCCGCCTCCCCGCATCATTGTTATTTGTCACCGCTGTCGGGTACGGAGACAGCGGCCCGCTGTGACAATCAATCCCATAATGCTTTAGGACAGGCATCCCCAAACTTGGTCCTCAAGGGCCGCTGTCCTGCAAGTTTTAGAGGTTTCCTTGCTCAACAACAGCTGATTTTAATTGAAAGCTGATTAACAGGCTTTTGCTCTACTGCAATCATTACAATCAGCTGTGCTAAAGCATGGAAACCTCTAAAACCTGCAGGACAGCAGCCCTTGAGGACCAAGTTTGGGGATGCCTGCTTTAGGAGGAGAGCTCTCCTCACAAAGCATTCTGGGATATATCTGCTTGTCTAGTGACCATTGATAATCAATACTTTTCAAGGTGCATTGTAGGAAATTTTGAGTCCACTACTTTTTCATCCACCAGACGTTCAGACACTCCATTAAAATGGCGTAACCGCGATATAGTGCCCTATATCATAAATAGCACGGACATTCAGACACAGCCTATATGCTTCATTTATTCAACAGTTGATTCAGATCAGTATCAGATTCTGGTCAATACACTCAGCCAAAGTCTTCAGATTGGATGGGAAAAAACTGAATTGTGGATCTTTAATTAGAAAACAAATAAACATTACGTGGTGTGTGATTGCAGATGTGCTGATGCTACATTTTTCTGACATCACCAAAATCCTGTCATAGCTATGGATCAAACTGGGCATTCTTATAAGAAGCAGACAATGTGAAATAACTGCTTTTCTACAGCATTTGATCTTTTGTTCCATTGAAACAAAAGACAGATATGATAATATATATATATATATATAAATGAAGTAAGACACTTCTTCAGTGAATGCAGCCTTAAACATGGCATTGTGCAAACTCTGATCAAAAACATCATTAATAACTGTTCTTAAGTTCTTCCTTTGTCACCTTTAATGTCTTGGTCACTGCTGTCAGTATCAGGTATAGGTATCCAGTGATACTTAAACCACAGTCTAAATATTTTATTGGCAAAAGTAAACTGATGATACTTGGAATATATTAGCCAAAAGATGTCTGTTTACAGATGTTGTATTTCATATAATCAATAGCAATATTATCATGGTTCATGGTGTTTTTATGATGCAACCTTTCGGATTATTAGGCAGTCCTCATTTTTTATTCTAGTAGAATAAATATATTAGGAGAGAATTATTTGTTTTAAGCTTAAATTGAATTAGGCTGCGATACAAATGGCAATGAGTGAGTGTGAAAATGATGAACCCAATAAAAATCCAAACAGTTTTATAAAGCACAACTTCCACTTCCAAAACTATAGTCTAAAAGGAAATATGTTTTCCAAGATATATTGTTTTTTTGCAGTTTTTCCAACATATTTTTTTAAAATATTGCTTCTCTAAAGTATTTTTTTACTTTTCAAATGTTACTTTCTTTTAAAATCAATATGCTGTTCTGTTGAGTGTTTTATTTTTCTGCTGCAACCTGATGAGTAGCATTGTCTCCATTACCTTTTGTAACAGATGTTTATATCTCTATTATGTGTGTTATAGTTTTACAGGTTTTTCAAACATTATGGATAATATATTCTGCGCAAACATTTTTTTTAATCCTAGGGGCAACTTCTGATTCATTCCTTTGTTGCTCTTTAGTTGTACTTTTGTCTTGATAGAGGCTGTTATTTCTTTAGAGACAGAGAAAACAGTACATAGTATGAGATGTTTTGCGTAGGATACGGCTTTGTACAGTTGAACATGAGTGACTTTTTGTCCACTCGAAGGCAGGAAACACAATGCAGACATGACAAGTGCGAGGCTGTAGGGCCTCAGAACACAGACTGTGTAGGCGTCTTCAAGCACACCTGCTGTTTTAGTTCATGTAGGCGGAGTGGCGTAAAGTGCCTCTGAGCTCGATGAAGTGGAATATAAATCAGACGGTGGCGATCGCTTAATTCACAGTAAGCCAGTCACATTTCAGTGGGGTCGTCACTCTGAAACAGCTGACGAACGACTAGAAGCGCCCCGACTAATGGAAAGAAGGCTTTTCATCAAGAAATCAGGTGCAGAGCAGAAACATTACATAACAAAAAGTATTTGTAGTGTTTCAATCACATAGCAGGGAATGATGGAAAGGAGGTGGCGGTGTGGTCCAACATCGCCTGAGTTGGTTCTATGTGTTGGTACAAACCCTAACTATACAGGTTGCATCTCAAAATATGAATACAGCAGACAGGTGCCTATAGTAGCTCAACTATCAGGAGCAGCCCGTCTCCTATCATAGGCAGGAGATTTAGCAAAAAGTGAGGTCAGGTGGATAATTATGCTTCTAATGCAACAAGATGTAAAGTACTAATCAGTCATATTAATGTATAAATCGTTTCAGGGTGATGTTTATGATCATCAAAGATTTTTCTGTTTGATTGAATCAGGGTGCTGCTTTAAGTTTACCTGCCATCTTTCTTCTCTTTTATTTATTAACTCAAACAAATTATTCTAATAAGAACAGCTCTACAGCTCATTCTTCAACAACTCACCCCTCTTTACAGAGTATTTTTATATTGAGTTAAATCAAGGATTTTCTACGATGAATGACCTGTTTGATCATATGCCTCAGTGTCTTAATTGGACTTCAACTCTGAACCAATCAGATGAGATAGTTGGTCTGCTGGGCATTAGAGTTACAAATTGCAAGCCAATCCTTTTAAAGATTGTCATTTGGATTTTATCTGACCTAAAAACATAGAATTCTGTCTATTAAGGTAAGTCATCCATACTGAAGAAGAAAAGTAGCCACAGACCACTACCCTGTTATTACCATGTTGAACTATAGGTATGATTCTCTCCTTCTCAAGTGCTGTGCAAGCTTTCCTCCCGCTCTAACAAATGAGTCTCTCATCAAAATGTCCATAGTCCAGATATGTCACCTACTCTCATCCTCTTATCAAATTCTTCAGACTGGAGCATGATGTGTTCACATTGTGTGACATGTTTCATGTAAGCTATGTCTTGATGTCACAGGTCATCCAGTATCCGTTCCTGGATGTTGACAACCAATAATGCAGTAATAGGATGTGGTTAATGATTGTTTAAGAAGAGGGAATCATGTTCCCTTGGTTAGCTTTTTGCCCTCAATAATTGCCGATAAAAATTACGTCTTGAAAAGTGCATTTTGTATTTAGCACCTTTTTTATAAATACACTTATAAACTAAACTGTATTTGGCAAGACTTGTTTACCTTTTCATTTGTATTTTTGCAGGAGTGCCAAAATCAAATTTGTTAATTTTACATAACAGAAATACAAAATATAAAAAAAAGAATGTATCTTTATGCAAAAAAAAAAAAAAAAAAAAAAAGGTACATGATATTTTACAGTTTAAAATCAGATTTTGTGAAATACTTTGAAATTAGCTGTTCAACCAGACCTGATAATAATGGGATTGAGGGGATATCTGAACAATTTGCACACATAAACACAAAATATAAACAACTTATAAAACATGTAAAGTTATTCAACCAAAAGCAGATGGACTCTATCAACAAATAGATATATAATCTGTTTACCTGGTTCTCCTTGGCAGAGGACTCCATAAAGGCTGCGTTCCAGGATTCGGCTAATGCTTTCCCCTCTTCACAACTGATCACGCTGATTTTACAACAAAAACAGATTAAATATAAAAACAAACATTAAAAAACTCTATAAGCAGCAGCTCAGACATCTACAGCAATACATAAGTTATATTAATTGCACTCTGTAAAGTATGTCCCCCTGAAAATGTGGTAATGGAAAATCTTTGTCAGTGCTCATTTGGGAAAACTTTAGCACATTCCTATTTTTCATGTCACAGTTACAGAAAAAGAAATAGTTAATTATTAAAAAAAAAAAAAAAGTATTTCAGTCTTTCCAGTTTTCCTTCCAATTAAGGTTTCACATCACCAACCAAATGCTGATATCAGAGAAAAATAATCTGGGTAATAATAAGCAATGTTTTGAAAAGATGATTTCAGTTTTACCTAAAGCATCAGAGTTGTTTAACAAATCTAGTGGAGTCAAGAAAAAAAACTAAGCTTAAAAAGAACTTGTCCAACAACATTAAGACAAAACACACCTTGTATAGCACTTTTATGGAATCTCAAAAATGCTTTACTAAACACCAAAGGAAAAAAATGAGGGTGAAACATTGTGACCGGGTTTTAATGTTAGACATGCAATTAGACACTTTGACACCTTGGATAAGAAGGAAGTGATTGGTGACTTTGAGCAGAGTCTGGTGGGTACGAAATCCACATTCAAGCATTTGAAACAGCTGGGAGGTGTAAAGATATTATTATTGAATTAGGAGATGAGAATTCCAGGATTTTTAAGAGAAATGGAAGAGTTTAAATAGGTCTAAAGTTCTTAAGGTGACCAGGATTAAGGCCTTTTTCTTTTAAGGGGTGTAAAGGAAGTTTCAGTGAGGATGGGACAAAGCTGGTGATAAGGGAAGTGTTTAAGATAGGAGTTATGAGAGGGACAAAGATGGGAATACAGGTTTTAAGGAAGGGAGACGGAATAGGGTTAAGATAACAGGATGAGGTTTTCATGTTTAGCGGTGTCTGAGAGACAGGGGAGAGAAAGAAGTGAAGTAGAGGGATGTAAGTAGGGAAACTGTAAGTACCAGTGGAGATGAGGAGGTGGATGTCAGCGAGCTGTGAAGGAAGGAAGTTATTGCACTTTTCTAGTGTGAATATGGAAGTAATGTTATCTTGTGGTTTCTGTGAGTTTTGTAAATGTAGAGAATAGAAGAGCGGGGTTTAGGGATTAGAAAGGATAAAGTCCAAATAGAATTTGGAGTGGGCAGATTTAAGTGTTGACAGAACCTTGTTACCTTGGGCATGGACAGTGAGACCTGTTTCTTTATAGAGACGCTCACATTTTCTGCCGTTCTTTTTGAGTTCATGGAGTTCAAATGTGTACCATAGAGCTGAAGTGGAGACAGAGACTGTAGCTATGGTAAGAGGGGTTAACTGATTAAGACAGGATCAGAGAATGTGGTTGTAAAAAAAATGTCCAAATTAGTGATAGTGGGATCCGAGGGAAAAGAGGAGCTAGCGATTACAGTGGATAAAGAGTAAGAGAGAGAGTAAGGAAAGAGTGTTTTTAGGTTCTGGTAGATAATTGTGCTCTTGGCGGAGGGAGTAGAAATAGTAATGTTCAAGGTAACTGCCATATGGTCAGAAAAGGTGAGATCAGTGACAGGTTATTAATGGCGACCGAGGGAGTTGTTGAAACCAGATCAAATATGCATCCATGTGTATGGGTAGGTTAAGTGATCTGCTCTTTGAGCTTGAGACTGTTTAACTTTTCCAAGAAATCAAATGTTCGTTTGGTTGTGGGAGAGTCACTATGGATGTTAAAGACAAGATCAAGCAGAGCAGATGGAGAAATGGAGAATAATTGTGTGACAAAATCTTTGAAATCTGAGATTAAAGAAGGATGTGATTTATGGGGATGGTAGATTACAGCAGCTGGGTAATCTGAAGGCAAGATGTTCAAAAATAATATATACAACTGGGATATATAAAAAAAAAATAAAAAAGAATCTTGTTGGTGTGGTCAGGTTTAGGGTAAGGTAGTCAATGGGTTTGTTCCAGGTTTCAGTGAGACAGAGGAACTCCAGTTAATTAGTCAGTTATACATTTGTTGAGTAGCAAACTTTTTTTATTTAGTGACCTTGTATTTAAAGCTACAGTGTGTAATAATTAAAGGGATATACAGTCAGAAATGTAATATATTATACATAACTATGTTATTTATCATCATCTACGAGCTCAGCCTGCTAACCTTAATATTTGCGTTGCCTTAGAATTCGTTATTTATAATTACATAGGAGCGGGTCTTGCAGCCATGGAGGCAGACATCTTTGCGTTACGGCAGCGCAGAGCCAACAAACTAGCGATTGCGAGATCGTCCATTACGCTCGAAAGTAACTACGGCAAGTTGAGAGAGATGAACTGAGACGGTACTGAAATCTATACCCTACACAGACTAATGAAATACTATCTGTAAAATTATCTATGTAAACAAACCTCATCACTTGAGAAGGTAGGTGATGCGGACGTCGTGGAAGACATTTTGTCCCGTAACGCTCGCCGTACTGTTGGGGGGGAGAAGCGGTGGGGGGGAGATGTTCATGTTGCTGCGGTCTGCAGTCTGGACGTTAGATGTCGCTGAAAATTACACACTGTAGCTTTAACAGTGCCTTTATTGAGGGGCTTTTGTCGTGCAGTTCATGTCACGGGAGAAAGCTAGATTAAGTTGTGAAAAAATATGCAGATAACGCATATGGAGGTGCTATAAACCCAGATGATTTCCATATTTGTTGGAACCAGGAATACAACTTTCTGGCAGAAGAGAAGCATGTCTTGGGTGGGAGTTTTTGACCTATAGCTCAAATTCACATGGATTTTATAGCAGGAAACCACTCTGACGCACACCATAAAAAAACAAAGCCAAATCAAAATTTTGAAACTGACTTCGGTAAAGTCAAATGGTCAGTCCAATTGAAGTGATTTGGCTTCACGTTAAACTTCAAACAGTTTTGCCAAGAAGAGCAGCTCAGCTCTTCTCACTCACTCGGGTATCTTTGTCTGATATCAGAATTTTTTTGATGATCTGGAACACTGAAATATGAAGAATATATTTATAGAAAGAGCAAATCTAAAATGAAGTCGTCTGCATCAGCCTTAACAATGTTATGATGGGACATACCGCTCCATATGTAGGTCATTCTTGTTCCCAACAAGCATAATTGGAACTCTGCATAAGGAGAAAAGTTATAAAACCACAGGAACATTTGTGTAAGAGAGATCTAAAAATGTCTCAGGAGAAAAGAGCTGCAAATCAAAGGATCAAGGATGTACTCACTGGACCTTCCCCACCATATCCAATAGCTTTTCATGGATAACTTGAACAACTTCAAAGCTGCAAGGGGGGAAAAAAACGACAGCAGCGAAGAGAAACCTGCCATCAAAACTCCAAAGAAGACTTTGATTACAAATAAGATGCCATGGTGAATAGTTACCTTTTATTAGATGTAACAGAATAGACCAGAATGTAACCGTTGATATCTATGGAGTACGTCTGTGGAAAGATGGAGTATTCATCCTGGAAAAGATTTACCAAGTAGAAAAATTATTACAAAAAAAAATATTGTATCACAACTGAAAAATCAACGACTGACTAATAATATAAAGGTACAGAGTCCTACCTGCCCTGCTGTGTCAACAAGCTGAAGGTGGTACTCCTGTCCATTTATCGTGATCATTTTGGTAAATGCTGCAATTACAAGCCACTTTATTTAGAAACTGCATATTTAAATGCATTTTTTTCTTGTAAATAAAAAAAACACAGCATGGTAAATACAATCATTAGATCTGCAGGTCTGCACATTAAAATAGTACAGTTTGATAACATTAAATTAGTTCAGCAGTGCATTGCCATTATCTGTCTCCAGAAGAGTTTGGTTATCCATCACAGCGGGGAGGTACTGCATATCCTGCAGCATCTCACTAATAATGCTGACACCGCTTCATGTTAAGCATCCAAAGGATTATTTATAGACACGGAACCGAGCACACAGCCAACGCAGGGCGGTATATGTGAGCAAAAGTATGAGGGAAAAACAGGAAAACAGCCTACAGGTAAAGTTTTGACCCAGACCTCTCAGGAGTCTCGGATTATCAGTGTTGATGAACTGTTTTGTTTGTCCCACAAACAAAAGTACTGCCTTCCAGCGATGTTAACTTTTGCAACCATGCTGTCCAGACACCAACCAGTCAGAAATAACAGATCATTCCACTTTCTCACTCAATCTCCCTCCTTCTGTCTGAACTCAGCTGGTGTCATGTTTCAACGCGTTATTGTAGTGGGAACATTGCACCCTGGTGGGGGAATCTTGTGATTCACCATCTTCATATAACATCACACTAAAAATCATAAAAGAATCATAAAAGAATTACCAGTCATTAATTCTATTATCATGTTGAAAGCTCCAGATTAATTTTTGCTGTGGTCTATGAAAGAATCTGATTCTCAGAAAAATACAGCCATATAAGGCAAAGGAAGTATTTATCTTTTTTTTAACAAAAAAAACTTTTTGATATGTAATTATTGGGACTGTTGAGCAGACATTGAGTGTAGACGACAGGGAGATTGCTTAAAATACAGTCTTTACAGAGAACTTTATCCAGTCACAAGTTTAAACCTAAATAAAAAGTAGATTAATACGTAGAGTCAACCTGGGAGTAAGTCAGCCTCAGAATGAATACAGTAACTTCATTAGGGTTTATGAGGTTAGAGCCTATTTGAGAGAAAAGCAAAAACATGAACTAGAACTCACACAATTAATTGGATTAATCCTGGCTAATCAATTATTGAAATAATCGTCAACTAATTTAGTAATCGATTAATCCTTCACTGAAGTATAGAGACTCTAAATAATGCTTTGAGCTGACAGAGCAACCCACTTAGAGCAATAATTATACCAAAATTAAAAAAAAAAACAAATATTTTGGTATTTAAGATTTTTTTCTTCAAAGTGTTTTTAATATGGTCTACCCAGAACTCCTGAAATGGAAAAGTTTTAGTTTCAGTTGGTTTGATTCTTTAAAAATTCTTCTTTAAGGATCCTTTTCCTATCTAATTATTAATCGATCAATCAAAAAAAATTATCAAAAGATTAATCGATTAGCAAAATAATCGTTGGAGCCCTTCAATAAACCCCTCTTAAACTGCGTAGGTATATTTCTTTAAAATTCCATAAAGTACACTGAAGTTAATTGGCAGAACTTAAAAAATTTATTTGCATGATTGCGTTTTAAATGCACTTCAATTGACTCCTGTTTTATAGCATTTTCAGCAGAAGGAAAACAAGGAGTTCTTACATGCTTTACATTAAATAAAATAATCATTTGATGTCCTTTTGTTTCTGAATACAATTATATTTAGGATTTTGTTGCTTCCTCCTGCTTTTTTAAACATCGTCCTTTTTTTTATTTTTCTTTAGTTTTATTAAAGCAGCCTTTGCATGCAACAAATCAAAGGACTAAAAGCCGTTTTTACTCCTATGTGGGTTTTGGTCTCATGCCAAGAAAGGATATTGATCAGACATACAGACAAACACTAAGATATGCAATAAATGCATATCCTTAACGTTGATAAAACACATTCTAAGCAATCAAAAATGGGGGCACAGGCTGCAGTATTCCACTTGTAGCTCAGTTACTGCATCAAAGTGGTGTTGTGAGCAGTCAGCTCCTCATCAGTTAAAGTGCAGAGGAAAGCCTTTAAGTGATTCTCAGTCTTGTTCAGACAGAAACAGTCTGTGTAAAAAAAAAAAACTTATCCAAAAGAAAAAAAAACCCAGAAGGATGTAAAACTGCTAAAGCTTTACAGCTACTCTAATAACAACCTACATAAACCAGAAAAGCTGCATTAAAGTCAACCATGGTTTACGTACAAACATGACAATAGTCTACTTGTTTTTATGTAAATAGCTTATCATGTCTGCTTAAACTATGATAGCTTTTGCTTTTAAATGTAAAAACTTGACTCGGCTACAGCAGCTCATCAGCAGGAATGGGTCATAATTCCAGCAAACTATTTTGAGAGGCTTGTGGAAAGAAACACAAAATGTTTTATCCAAGTCATGCTGAAGGAATGCAACCTTTACAGGAGGTAGAGAGGGTAGGTAATTAGAAATAATTTCATTTATCCCAACTTACCTAAAATAGAAAATGTTTATCCTATTTATTGTCAAACAGAGTCTAAAGTTATATGTCTTTTTATAAACTGTGTATAAATGTGGTTATTTGTGTATGTATAAAGCAGGATGAAAGTCTTTTGCAAAGTAACTTTAGTTTCCTCTCTGAAGTGCATCAACATGATGGGAAGATTACAGATGTAAATGCACCGCCTCTTGAACAATCAATCTGCTTTAAAATAAAACGAAGAGCCAAGATGGTGCATCTTTTTCTTTTTATCTCTCTGAGAAGGAAATTGCTCCACTTGACTTTCACCAGGAAGTGTCTTCATGGGAAATCTCAGTGGACGGAGAAGCTTAGGCTACTAGAAACAGACGCATATCATTTTCAAGCTGGCATTGCAAGGTTTTGTTGAAGTGGAAAATGCACAGAATGATAAATTACTTTCTTCCATTGCAGTGAGTGACTAGAGGCAGAGCTAGAAGGGGGGGCTAGGGGTGGCCCATCCCTTGTGGCCCTCCCAACCAAGTGATTGTTCAGTTGTTATTGTATTAACAATAAACTGACAATAAAACTATTCTAATCACTTAAATATGTGCATAAGAACACTTAATACTTATTTCATTAATTGTTCCTGCATGAGTTTGTCCCGCTTGCTTTAAACCCAATGTGCGACTCTAAAACTGACTGTTTCCCCGTACATATTTTATTTTCTATTTTCCCCCAAAGCGTCAAAGTGTTTTACTTTGAAACTGCGTCTCTCTTCCTGTCAGATCCATAAAATTGCAGCTGAATTGCTAAAATAGACCTGGGGCCTATCGTAGTCAGAGCTATGCAAAATCTTAAGGAAAACCGTGTCGGGTGAAATCATCCCCATTGACTTTCAATAGGTGTTAAATGCAAATATTTTATCCGACACGATTTTTTGTCCGATCGGAAATCGGATTCGGTGTATTCTGGCCATTCCAAACACTTGAGAAATGCTTTATAGCTATCCTTCAATAACCCAAATAGTCGTTTAATTGTGGTTTAAGGTGTGTTGTTGACATGGCAAAAGTGTTTAAAGTTATACGAAAATAAGGATGAGGAAATCCCAATAATAAATGTACAAAACAAAAATACCAATAATGATTAAACACACAATGAACAAACAGAATTATGAGCAAGTTTCTTGCACATATTTTATGATTAATTTCTAATTTTCCTAGACTCAACTTTCTATAGTCCTCAGTCCATTTATTTAAAAAATGTCAAAACTGAAAATTACAAAGAAGAGGAAGTGAGTTGACAAAGACAGAAGACAGGACATCTTTGGAAAATAGGTTAAGGGTAAAATCAGAGAAAAAGCCGCTTTCCATTACGTCTTTTCTTTTTCAACATTTATCATGACCTGGAGAATATTCAAGTCAAATTCCAGGCTATTCACGACCACCCAAAAAAAAAAACATATTTGCACTAACATGGCTGATTTTTTCTTTTTTTTTATTTATAATTCCTTTAAATAGAACACAACTCAATGTTCTACTGCATTTTGCACCATATTTATTTATTTTGCACTGCACTCAACCTTCCACATCAAGGCCTTTTGAACCATGGCTTTTAAAAAGCTTTTTTTCTTTTCTCCTGCACTGCTTACATTCTTGATCACTGCTGCACTTTATAAATGGTTATGTTCATTTTAATGTTGTACACTGTATGCATCGAAATTTCGTTTTCTATATAATCGGTGTATGAAAAATGACAGTAAAGTTTATCTAAGTATAAAATCCTTAGTGAGACATGTTTTCAATCATCTAGAAGTGTACAAAAACGTTTACGTAACTATTACACAGTTTTGATTTAGAAAAAAATATTTAAATGCTCCTTTAGAATTATATTTAATTCTTATTAGAAAACTTAACATCAGTGATTTATATGTCATCAAACATTAAGCAAATCAAATGTACGTAATCATCCAAAAGCTGAACTGAATATTCCCTGAAATATAAATAAAATCTTACATGTAAGCCTTGATGATGATGGTGAAGAAAATAATGTTTTTATCCAGGATTCTTAACGCCAAATTATGGTGCCTAAAGCTGAATTCTGTTGCAATAGAATATTTATTTATGGTTTCGCAGTAAAAGGGGCTGAAAACAAATGCAAGCCTCAGATTTAGATTCTTAATAGTAAAAACTAGTAAAAATAATAAATAAAAGCGTGTAAAATTAAAAGAAAGCATCAAAACTAGGGCTGCGACTAACGACTATTTTGAAAATAGATTCATCTGCTGATTATTTTCTTGATTAATAATCGGATAGCCAAAGGTTCCTTAAGGAAGAATTTTTACAAAATTAAACCAGGTGAAACTAAAATGTTTCCACTTGAAGAGTACTGGGTCGTAAATGCAAAATATTTATATATCATTTTACAATTTTGGTATAATTACTGTTCTAAGTGGGTCACTCTGTCAGTTAAAGGCATGTTTTACAGTCTCTTTGCTCTAGTTAACCATTAATTAATTACTAAATTAGTTGACGATTATTTCAATAATCAATTAATCCGATTAATTGTTTCATTCCTAATCTATAAAAAAAAGTCTATGGCTATAAAGATTTTTGTGAATAATTCTACTTTCTTATGCATTGATGAGGCTAAAAATTTAAGAAAGCAAACCTTTGTAATTTCATCAACTTTAAAAAAAGAAAAATGATTTCATTTGGTTGAAATGTGTCAAGAGTTTCCTAAACAGACTCATGACAGTGCCTTTGTATCATTGTTCAGTATTCAAACAGTATAGGAACATGTAGAAGGTGTGTTTTACATTTTATTTGAATGATGAAATGAGATACAAAGCACTAGAAAATAAAATAATGTTAGACATGCGGCAGCCATATTGGATTTTAAGATCAAGGTTGGTGTGAAAGTGCTGCATTTCCCAATTGGAATTCCAACTATTCACTTTCTAACTAATATAAAGGAAATCAAATTGTATGAAAAATAAACACAATATTAAAGATCTGACAAAACTAACAGTTAGGTTGCTTAACTGCATGAAATACAAGCAGGATGGATTTGAACCTGAGAATCTAATTCAGTATCGTATAAAATCCACACTTACTGTTTTCTATTGTAGGGTCATAGGAGTCCACAAACTGGCCTTCCACAAACTGAATTGTCAAGGAAGACTTTCCTGCAAAAAACACATTTTAAAAGAAAATAAGTCTAAATAAATCTTGAGGAAAATACGTGTGCATTGGAATAAAGTAGATTACCATCAAAATATAATGAAATGTCTCAAAGAATATATACGATGATTGTGGCCTACGTTCAATGGAAAAACATCAAGTGTCCGAGGAATTCCCTGCTAAAAAATTGGCCTATTGAGAAACTGGGGTTTCCCTTGCATGAAGTCGTGGCATGGCGGCGCCAAAGTACTAGGTTCTGCCTTCACCTTGTTGGGTTTTATGGGGGTAACACCCTTGCCTACCCATAGCAGTGACATCATGGTCACTGAAGCAGATGTTGGTACCTTTGGAAGTGTTTGCAGGTGCTTGGAAAATGAATGCGTATCCCCATAAAGCTTATCAGCAGAAGTAGCCTGACCAGCCAGTCTGTTGAGGCTGAGACTCAAACAGTCCAGACCAATCACAGCGTGGGAGGCAGGAGTTAATACTTGTGCAACAATTACTCATAGTGCAACAGCAATTGTCTGTCACCATAACAGTCAAGATTTAAGCTGCAACAAATCAATGTTTAAATGATGACTTTTATCAAACCCAGAATAAGCTTTATATATCTTTAAAGAGCGATTTAAAGACAATTTTGCACCGCATCTGAAGTTATCTGATTGGTTCTTATCTGTGTCTGCTGTCGAGCCTTTGGAATTGGGCTCTACCCGCCTCTTTCCAGTGTCTAAGGTCTATCTGAAATGTACTGATAGGCAGCTGTATTGACTTTGTACTTGATAAAACTCATTGGACCAACACCAGTGGATGACACGGCTCCTGAAATAACAGCCTGTGGAAAATTTACATTGGACAATGAGGCTCGTTATCTTGATTTTGAATAAGGTTCAATCAAGGTCAGATGTCCAAATGAAATGCAAACTTAACTTTTATCTAAAAAGGTGACTTTGAATCACTGAGCGACATTCCAGCACTTTCAGTCCTTTTTATCTCTGTTGTTCAGCATCATTTTTAAACATAGGTTTTTTTTCCCTTCCACTTAACTTTACATTATAGTACTTGGATAAGAAACTCAGTGAACAGCATATTTAGGGATAAACTTTAGTGGGTCAGTTGAATTGTGGAGAGTGTCTCGTGGACAACTGGACTGTCAGGAGTAGAGCTGCAATGATTGCAGGTTTCTGGTCCATCTCCATTTCCCCATCTTTAAAAACCCTGACTTCCCCATTCCAATTTTGACAAACACAGATTTTTTTTAAAAACCGACACTTTCGGTTGTTTTAAGATCCCAAGACACTTTAAATATTTAAATCTTATCATTCTGAAAGGCATTAATAAGTACCTATGAAATTAATAAAAACCGCTTTTAAATATAAATCAAAGTTTAAAGCATTGATCTTCAGACCGTTGCAGAGGTAGATAAGATCGTTAGAAAAGATTTGTCTCACGTCTAAATTCTAGCCGACCATCGATCTCCCAAAATTATGGAAATCGAGGCTCAGTCGTCCATATGCCTGTTATAGACACAACATAATTGTTTATATTCAATCATTTCTGCTCTCATTTAATGTTTAAATCATCTAAGGAACCAATGCGGTCATTAACTCTTCTCTTTAATTGTGAAAAAGCAGTTGTTCTTTGTGAGTTAATTTTTCTTTCTACTGCCAACACATGCTTAGACAATTAAATCAGACAATCAGTTTTTCTTTAATTATAATTCAAATTTTATTTAAAAAAAATGGTAATTTTGACTTACATTATGACAAAAATATGTAAATTCCTAAATTATGAATGTATATTGACCTAATAAGAAATAGGATTTTAATTAAACCTAATTGAATAGAAATTCCCCCTCATGCAGCTCTCTTAATGTATTTGTATCCCTTGCCCTGTTTATTATTTCACGCCTTTCTGTGCCCCCATGAAAGCACGCTGGCCCCCTCCTGGCCCCCTCCTGGCCCCCTGGTACATTTGGTATAGAACCGCCAATGCTACAAAGTCAATGATACCATGCAATCCATGCAAACTGGAATTTAATCCAGTATATAACTGCACAGATTAAATCATTTCTAGATTGATTAGTTTGTGTGTATATATATATTTATATGCATTGAGATTTGCTGTGGATGGGGCGATATACCAATAAATTGAGTTGAACTGAAACATTATGCAACCACATAAAAAGCAGCTGGGATTGTGCAGACATGCTGCTATCATCGTGTGCCATCTTGCCATCCTCAGCATCCTTCCAAACTGCGCTTCTTCTGTTTCTGATGAGATGCGATTATCCAAGGCAGTGATGCGTCACATCCACGGGAGCGCCAGGCCTCCACGGAGTTTGCCTCTGACTAACATGGCTCCGGGGTTAGAGTCACTGATGGAAACCTAACCATATCATCGGTTAGAGTAAAAATAACCCGCCTTCATTCCTGCATTTGAGGCCTACTGAAAATAAACAGCAGTCCCCTTCTCACCTGGTGGCGCTCATTCACCCGTTAGAAGATGTTGCGAGAAGGATCCTCTCCATCCTGTCATTTAAGTCTATTATAGGAGGCGTAATGGGTTTAAACTAAGTGGAAGGGCCGCATAGATCTACTCTAATCCCATCCTATGTTATTGTTTCTTAGTCATCCCCACAGTGAGACGCGCGTGCCGGGAACTTACCCACGGATCTGTACCCGAGGATGGCGATTTTTCGTGACTTTGGCTGCGGCATGTTCCGTTCCCACTTATAACATCCAGTCCTCGGGCTCTAGCGCAACCTCCAGTGAGAATGGCATCCAAATAAAGTCAAGGGGCGCTCAGCTCCGACATGCAGCGTCCAGTTCTTTCTTTTTTCGATGGATTTAGTATTTGATTAAAAATATTATTCCACGTCATACATATAAAGGAGCATGGAGTACCTTCAGATCTACAATAACTGCGTCACTCCCCTTTGCAATTTAATGAATAAATAATTACTGTTCGGTTATGATTGGTTGAAAGGGGAGTAAAGGCGGGACTAAGTTCTTATTGAGGCCCTTCGATTGGATAGCAGAGCTTTCTCTCAAGTGGTTCTCAATTGTGATTGGTTGCGACTCGCTGCGTTACGTGCTAGGTGGTCAACAGTGGTGTCATTCATATCTTTAGGGTTAGGGAGCACATCATTAGGCTTCGCATTGTCTAATATGTAGAAGTCATTAAAAAAGTAGCATTAATAATAATAATAAAAAAAAGGTTTTCTAGCCATACCTAATATCCCAAGATCATAAGATAAGATAAGAAAATCCTTTATTTGTCCCACAGTGGGGAAATTGCAGCGTTGCATCACAGTACAGTAGGAAAAAAGAAGAATACAAAGTATAAAAAATATTTAAAAATATATAAAAAAATATATATACATTAAGTATATACAGACAGACATGCAACACTGGTATAAAGTGACATAAATATACCTCTGCATTTAACCATAAACGTTTCCAAATTTGATTACAATCAAGCAATAAATAAATAAATAAATATATATATATATATATATATATATATATATATATATATATATATATATATATATATATATATATATATATATATATATATATATATATTTTTTTTTTTTTTTTTTATTATTATTATTATTATTATTATTTTTTAAACGATACAGTTATATATTAAAAAATAATACATGGTGGGACATTTTCCATCTTTTTTTGTATATATATTTGGTTGAAAGAGGAGTAAAGGCGGGACAAAGTTATTATTGAGCCCCTTCGAAAAGTAGTATCAATTTAAAAAAAAATGTTTCTAGCCATACCTAATATCCCCAGACATGCATTTCAACCATAAACATTTACACATTTTATTACAATAAAGCAAAAAAAAAACCCAACATATTTTTAAAAACCATATAACTGTGAACTGAAGGAAAATTATACATGGTGGGACATTTTCCATCCCAGTCTGAGTCAACAGTTTGTAGATCTTTTTTTTTTTTTTTTTTTAAGTATGTCTCTAACAACACTTACTGCTTGTTTGCCTTTGCAAAAAAAAAGAAAAAAAGAAAAAGAATACATACATACATACATAATCACAGTACCACAGACTCTCGACTGCTTTTAGGACTTGACTTTGACCTGGCCATCCAGCCTCCTATTAACCCCGGCTTCCCAAAGAAAAGTATCCCCACAACACAATACTGCCTCCAAGTTTTACTGTTAGAATTATTTGTTTATAGTGATTTGCATTCTTTTTTGTGTGTGCATGTTTTGAAGTTAAATGTATAACTTTTAAGAAAAACATCACCAGTCTTTTTCTTAATCTTTTGAGTGGAAATACTCTCACAGAACAGCTTTGTTTGTGCATAGAAAAAAAAGAAAGACCATATTAACTAATTTAAGTGACTTATTATAACAACATTGGTTACCTTTGCAAAGCAGTGCTGCATGTTGGTGTTTGTCCTTTGCTGTCATTTGTTATGTGTGATAACAAGACCTCTGAATTGGATGTTTGCTGTTGTTAAAGTCATTTCTACACAAATTTCCTTTCCATATATTTTTTGAAAATAACACAAAACTGGTCGCATCATTCTTTCCCTCTTGCCTCCATATTGCCATCTCAAATGGAAGAAGTTAGATAAGAAATACCCCATAGAGAATTAGTGAAATTCTTTATTGAGTATTATTAGGTCTGCTTTTTATAACACTGAGCATCAATACATGGGAAAGAATATGGACTGGAAATGGATGGAAACAGTAGTTATATTAATAGTATTTAACTTTATCTTTAATGATTTAAACCACAGAAAAGATGTGGCAGTAAAGCGACCAACAATGCCTAATAAAGTCTACTTCATTGTCAAGCTGTTCTGACTGTTTTTCGCTTTAATTGCACAAACAAACCCAATGATGATGATGATGATGATGATGATGATGAGTTTTTCTCCACAGTAGTTTATTTAAAGTTACTTATCTGTATTTTGTGTTGTTCTGCTCAACATATAATGTACCCAATACAAAATGATGTATTATGACTGTAAAAAGCTTTCCTGTAAAATTTGCGTTTTAAGGCAAAAAAACCAAAACAATTTAACCTGTAATTAAAGGCGTAGGTATCCCAGATCCAATAGCAGCTAACTCTAGTAGGGAAAGTTGGATATAGGATGATTTCCAGGAAACATGTTGTTATGAGATTCCCGACTCCTTTGCTTATTACTTATTTAGTCCTAAACTATATAAGTCAGTTGGTACTAGTGGAAGGTTTCTCTACCTGCCTTACTGTTACCATTGGTCTTGGACTATGCAGATAGGTGGACAGCCCAAACCCTGATGAATGGGCAGGGCAGTTTGGTGTCTTCTAGGATCTGTGTCAACAGCAAAGGGAGATGTATTCTGGATCAGGTTTCACAATAAAAGCCATCAAGTAATCCTGCTGGAAAACCTGGAGAGAATAATGAAACCCAATGCAGTAAGACTCCAGACTGTGATCCAAGCCAGGAACATTCTTTTTTTAAAGACAACAGTTTTAACAACTATGCCACCACACAGTTGATTAAATTACTTTATGCAGTATTTAATGTTATTTATATTATTTTTGCTAGTATTTTTCCATGCATCTGCATTTCTAAACATACAAATTAAAATGATTATTCAGCAACAACCAAAAGGAAAAAAATCCTCAACTTAAAATTTTTTAAAAAATAAATTAAAAAACCAAAGATTTCTGGAGTGTGTGTTTTAGTTTTGATTATCATGACATCTTCAGTTTTTTTTTTTTTTTTTACTTGAAACCTATTTCTTTTTTTCTTTTTTTTCTTTTTACAAGAAAGAAATATTGGTAGCAAATTGATCGCAGTAGGTTAAGAGAAATAATAATTAGCATACTTCTTTAACCTGTATCCCAGCTGGTTTAGTTTAACAAACTACAGAAATGAAGAGATGATCGGAGCCTAACATCTATGTATAATGCTGCATTAATATTCAAAGCAGGATGCAGAGTTCTTCAATATCCAATAGCGGCGGAAGATTCATGTTTGTGTATTTCAATTGCACCTTTGCTGTAATAATGTGTTTCCTTTTTTCCTTATCAGTGCAGAGATGACAACTAAAAGTCAATGTTTTTTCGGATTCTAACATTAAATTTGAAGAAAAATATAACCAAGATGTCTATAACTTTAGAAACCGATAGCAGCTGCTTCTAGATGAAAAGGTTAAATATATAGCTGCAGTTGCACACTCTAAGTTTTCCACACCTTTCATTATTGTGTTAAGGCTCTTGCTCATTATATCTCACTATTTGAGTTCAAGGTACTTAGTTTTGAAATCTGCAATGTTTTGTTCAAAGAATTTTTCTAAAGGTTCTTATTTTTAAAATGCAGAAAAAGTATTACGTTGTCAACGGTGATATCTTAAGACATCACTTTTCTATAGATGATTATGTCTTAGCAATCCATGCTCCACAGACTTAAAGAACCAGTCACAGCAAAGAGATTTAAACCATCTTGGACATTGGTATGAAAAAAGATGAAAAGAGATTTTAATGGATCACCTGATAAATTAATTTCTGTATGTGACTAATATGACGTTTGTTCCTATTGTATTTACCGGTAGTTCTGTTGCTGGTTATGAAGACTTCTTTGTTTTAACGGTGAATGATTTGGCAGCATTACCAGACACAAAACCTTCAACGTTTTAGAAAAAGGCTCTTTTTAGACATTTTATTTTATGTTCTACGCCAGATAAAAATAAAGAGCTGCATGCACCTTGTCTTAGATAGATTTAAGAGCCAATAATACCACAAGTATTTTGAAATTACTTTCATAGAATTCCTGCTAAACGAACACAATTATGCTTGATTAGACCTTTACCAAAATTATTAAGTGTATCAAACAAGCTTGTTGCTGGATGGTGTGTTATAAATGGCATGAAAATAAATATTTCAAAAACAAAATATGTGGACATTACATTCTGATAGACATCTACTGCAGTATTCATTAAATAGCACTGAAATTGAGAGGAATATGACAGATATCCGGGTACAAGCCTCCACTATGGGCTGGCATTTAACATTGACTTGGACAAAATCCATAAATAAAGGTTGCATTTAATTATTCTGTGTAAACAGAAGGATGGTGAGCCTGTCTAAAGGTCTTTTATCAAATCATTTTAAATGTTTGTAAAGTTCACTGCTTTGGTAATCTGTGTATTCAAAATACAAACACTGTAAACACAAAAATATTTGCTGTTAAGGCAGCAAATAAGACAATTAAGACAAATAAGACGATTCCAAACGACATCTATATTGGTCGCACGATTCAGAAAGTTGGTTTTATAGTTTGCTGACCCTCACAATGTTGAGTTCCAGCTTCTCCCCTGTGTTCTGAAGCTTAGGTTTATTGGGATTAAAAACCAACAGATGTAATAATTATTTTGTAGCCGCAGCAATCAGGTCTCTAAGTTTGAGTCATTTTTAGATTTTTTTTAGATATCTTTTAATGGAAATATGAAGTTGTGTTTATTATGTTACATATTCACTTTATTTATTTGCTTTATGTATGTATTTATGTGATCACCCAACTACAAGATACATTTTCTTACTGGGGACAATAAAAGGTATGTAATTGAACTAAAGAAGCATCTTTACAGCATGGTGATGCCACCATGCTTCACTGATGGCTGTATTACTTTTCCAGACTTATATAGCTTTCTTGTATGTGTGTTTGCTTTGTCACCTACATGGATTGTCTGCAGTTTTCCTAGATCGTATGATACTCTTTGTCACTGTTCTTGTACTAACCTCTGAAGCTATTACAGGAATGCTGGATTTATGATACCAAATAACACACTGGTAGATTTTTTATACATGTTTTCTGATAAAAGAACTTCTATTGCCAACCAGTTATGCTCAATTTCTACAGCAACGTAATATTGCAACCTAACACAACTTAAAAATAGTTATGAACAC